ACTGCGCCACCACCACCCATTAGTGCAAAAGAAGGAAAGCGGTAGTATTCTCTTCCTACGACTGTCATCATGCATATCCCATTCGAGGGTTAAGATCATAGGTAAACATAAATTGCACAAAGACCGTGGCGGTAACGAAACACGTGATTCCACAGATTCATCTCTTCGAGGATTCTCCAGTACACGGAAAAGTTCTATTCTTTTGAAAGCAAAGTATTCGGGTTAAAATATAAGTTATTATTCTTTAATAACAACATAAATCAATAAATTGTCCTTAACAAGTGAGAGATTGTCTTACCTGCACATGATGAAACAAAGAGAACTGATAATGCACGAACGAGGATGTGGAATCGGCGCACATCGGCACTTTTGGATATATACAGACGGGGTGCGAATTTAGTTAGAATGAGAGAATACACCAGCGGTGATATAGATGTAAGCAGTCATAAAACGACGAATTTCAATAAAGTTAAACAATTTAAACCCTTACCATACTGAGCAGGCTTTCGTTGTGTCGGGACGCGTTGAATCTGTGGTTGTGGACGACGATTCCATTCTGTGCTGGGTGTTCGAGAATTCAGGCCCAGGCCCTTTTCCGGATAGTGATACTTTCGAGCGTTGAATGCCGAGGTCAGATTGGCTCGTTGTGGTCCAGGAGATTCACGCAATCTGTTTGTACGTACATTTTTGAGTAAAAAAATGTAGAGATAGAATAAGCTAAGTTGCTTTAACATCCTTATTCAGTGTGAGGTTGACCCTGCTCAGAACCTTGTCGATCATGGTCCTGATGTGAAACTGCTTACCACAGAAGCATTCGATGAATCGACGGAGCATGTTCCAAGTGCGCTTATTATTCAACGCAGATTAGTTGCCAGTATTCCAGTACATGCAACGGGTTCTTTCTTCAATTGATTTTGATTAAATTAGCCCGTGGGGGTTGAGAATGTTGCTTGGGAGCAGCGGTTTAATTTAAACCCACTTCCTGAAGCACTGAACATCGATGAAGCCTCTGAGCATTCGAGGGTGCTGAACAAATTCTCCGCGTGAGTTGGAACACAATCCAAAACTAATGTTGTAGTCAGTGAACTGAGGTATCTCTTCCTACCGTGTATTTACCAGGTCTGAAGTCATGCGTGTTGACGTAAATACAATACAAAGATACGTAGTGGTGATCCCGGTTAATCTTTCCCGGATCAACTAACCACATAAACCTACAATTTGGTGCGCACCGTGGGTTAAGAAAAACGCCCAACTAAGACATGCTCGATATTACGAACTGTACACAGGAAATGTTGTGGCTCATTTGTTTCAGCTCAAACACAGAATCAAATTAATCTACTCGTATGGACTATTGGGTGTTAAAAGTCCTGAATTTAAAGACATTTGCTTCATAGTAACTCAATTAAAATGTGCAAAATGGCTGTGGTGATAGACAGAGAGAAAGGGAGTAAAAGAAAGTGTGCCTCTTGCACACACGTTTGTCGAACAGCTCAGGGTTCCGTGTTGTGAAAGGGATCTGTGCAAGAGTAGACAAAAAACGAACTTGAACAGTAAGCGCACAACCTTGGTTGTGTTTATGTTATGGAAATGGCGAATGAACTTGAGTGAATCGCGGACGCACTGTTCTCTTGTATGACACCAGAGCACTTGGATGTGAATCAGTAAATATGATTAAGCAAGAACATAGCAAAAATTAAATTCTTGAGGGTCACAACACTGATTAGCGAACATGTCAAACAGGGCCGGGCTGAATACACGGAACTGGTTAATGTACATTTCCTTACAGGACTTTCGGAGCAACATAAGCAAGTGAACAATAGTGGGTGAAATGAATTTAATCTTTCAAATGTGACCACTTTTATGCTACTTCTAAGTATAATGGTTCTGATTTTAAAAGCCAGTTTACAGTGCTCCACTTTGACCACATAGACTGTGTTCAGTGTAACGAAAACAGCACATTCGCCTTTTTCCGGTGGAAGACAGATCAGTTTATCCTAGCATGCATTGGTGAACACTTCGAAAATTCGGTGCCAATGGAAGCCACAATTCAATAACCGAAAACTATGGTTTAGGATTATTGACAACTGTGCAAATCACTGAATTCACCTAGACGGAAATACGGACAGAATGGAAGCAATGTGAACCAGGCATGTAGTCATTTCTAATTGAACAAAAGCTTAATATAAGCTACTGACCAAGTGGAATCGAGTTTGGAAGAAACGCATCATCCAATGACTTCAAATTAGGCCTAACTCAGTAGTTCATCTAACGGGAAGCAGTGGTACGTTGCTGTGAAATCTTTGATAGTTCACAAAATGGAATCATCAAGTGGGAATAACTGAAAAAAACGAACGTGTAAAGGTTGTAACTGAAAGAAATTTGATGTCATCAGTTGTCACAGGCCGGAACGAGGGGTTCAGACAGTTAGCTGAGTTGCTTCAAGTGAACAGATCAAAACGTGAGTTGACCGCGCATCTCGTCTACTGCTTGCGGTTTACTTTGTTCAAAGTGCCGGAACTCAATGTCACCCGGGGCGCTCTGAACATGCCTATTGCAGTTTTCCTTCGCCCGTCTGTTAACAAAACCCCTTTCCTATTGCTGCTGTTACTGCCAGTGACATGAGAGAATAGGAATCCTGATTTAGGGATGTGGCCTAAAGTTTCTTAGTTAAGGACCTCGTGACCAACTTGATGGACGGTTATGGGCAATCAGTAGTATGATTAAATGTGGCAAACAGTGATGCTCCTGCATCAACTCACTTTCGACGCATGTCTAGTTTACTTGACATCTGCTTAGTTCTTCTCAATGCCCGCAGTGTTTGGATTCTTTCATTCACTTATTCGTCATGTGGTAATCAAATAGATGGCCGAATTACATCAACAAAGAACAGCAGTTGATGGGACACCTTTACTAGTTATGCAAAGTTAACAGAAATGATTACGATAAGATCGAGAAACGATGAGAGCAAATCTTCAGCTATGATTGTTTACTGACGATATGGAGAGTCAGGGACACTGGATAGCATAATGCAGTGGAGACAGACAGTGTCAGTGATACATGCTATCAACAACTGAGTAACTTCAAAGCTGCCATCGGAGTATATTATGTATCCCCTGACAAAGTCCTTTTACAATCAAAATTGTGTAAATAAATCGGTTTCAGATGCAGTACTCAAGGGGAAATCTCTAGTCGATTCCACAAAGATCAGAATAAATGTAAGTATGTAATCAATTAATTCTATCTACAATAGTTGATGAAGAATTGTACACATCTCGTAGGATAGATGCTTCTCCAACCTTTGTCACGGAATCGACGTACGTTCCATTTTAATGGCATTACCATAATATCCGAAACAACCAATGATTCCTTATGGAATTATGCCCCTTGGTATTATGACACCAATGTACTTTTGTGTGACTACAAAACAACCACATCGCGAGTTGCTTCATATGCCAGCTTCAGACATTCGTTCAACTAGGATATGAAAAAGTATGTAACTGTAAAATTCATTTCAGTTTTGTGATTGCACTCATTTTCTTTCCCAGATAAGCAAACCAAAATGAAACTATAGGGAAGCTGCTTTGATCAGTCCCTGAGGTGGGTGAGGCAATTATATGCATTGAGATGACCAGAACAAGATGTGCAATGAGTGACCCCCAGTCTTCATGCTGCTGAAGATCAACCGTCCGCTTTTCAGGAGCGACTCTGTCCTATTCCCTACTGAAATCTTCCAACAACAAAACCCTTTTTAAGGAAACACGGTCATCCGGTCGTAAACCTACGCACTGACAGAAAAATTCCATCTGGTCCTGCGCTAATTACAACTCGTAAGATCTCCTACCGTGACAGGCATCAAAGGCTGACTTCGGGTAACCCTCTTTGGTAACTGTAATCTACCGAGGTGCTCCACGAAAGATTCAGCGAGGGTGGTACTCTAAGAAAGCGAAAACGATGAAATAATAAACAAGTGTGCAACAACTCCGACGAGGTATTATGCAATTCAAGACATATAAAAATAGCAAAAGTTTGCTGGAACCATGGATCAGAAAACATAGAAACGATGCCAAATTGACACTGAAGACAATAATCAAAGAGATTTAATAGAGGATCTCTTTCTGAGAATAGTTTATCAGGTACTGAATTCAAATGTGAAGGGTAGCAGTCATGTCACAAGAACCAACTAGACCGCAGATGGGTACTGAGAACTTGTTTATTTGTTCTAGTCAGGTATTACTTTTTGAACATCATTCTCCAAAGTGGACACATCTACGGAACTAAAAGATACGGCGGGTCCGAATGAAAATCGTTATAACTGAAGAAGACAAATTGTGTTTTGCCCAGACAGAATGTCAGGTGTAGAATCTCTGCTAGTTGTCACGATTTGGTCTATGCATACAGATGAAGTTATCGCAACACAGCACTCAAAGAAATTTGGAGGAGTTTCATTACAATGGTTTTGTTTAACGATTACATCACCACTGATTATGTCAAATGCAGAAGCAAGCACGATAATAAGAATCAGGAAAACTAGCTGCTTTTGCTGGTGAGGCACTTGCGGGAAAGTTAAAATTACAATCAAGAGCTATTTCTCACTAGGGAAAACTACAAACCATACAGGTTTGATTGACATAATTCACGGTATTGATTTAGTTTCAGCCCTTCATGTGGGACTGTTTCAATCGAATGAGGAAGCAGCACCGATCGACTTCTGCCGCCATTTGTACTTGTAAACAAGCTAGTTGGAAAAGCATAACAACTAATCCCTGTTTGTTCTATCACAGAGACCAACGGATCTGCATATCTTTCCTCTCACGGAGTTTTGTTGTGGGGAAAAAATGACAAACACTGTTTTGAAATTCCATTCTTTTGTACCGGAAGTTTGCAAAATGGGGGAACGATATGTCAAAATACCGACAAACAGAAATGCGTTGGACAAAGGGTTTTTTTGTTTCATTTAAAATGTAATATGGTATAATGTAGAGCAAAACACTTCGGGAACTACCACGTTGTATTTTACACTCAAACGAACAATCTGATTGATTGTCCTCCCTGTCCGTGTCAGAGTGCTATGACCCTGAGCAAAATGTCCACGTGTTGCACAGAAACGCAACGGTTTTACTTCTCAGACATCGCCTTTGAAAATTAACAAGAACAGGCTTGATGCTGGGCTTTAGCGAAGTGAAGATAAAAGACGTATTTACTTCATTTTATTCGATGATTTTAGAACCTCTGTAAGATGTCGTACTTATATTGCCGTTAAGAAGAATGTATCCAATCACTGTTTTCGATACTTTTCAACGATAATAGGGATAGTCTTTATTCACGCTTTATCTCTGAATAGGAACAAGATATTTAACAACAATTTTCTAAACAGCTTATTTGGAATCTCCCAAGATTGCATTATGGTCCGAGACTGGCGTTGTAGATACCAACTGGGTCGATGAATCAGTAACGGTGAAAAAGCCTATCCAGTTTACGCGGTGAGATTTAAACAACAACAAATATCTCGTCAGCATGATGGTGTTTTGGGAGCTGATTAACTAGTGAGCAAACAAAAAGCGTTAATTGGTAACTAAAACCAATATGACAGAAATTAGCTGCATTATTCATATACGTGACTGCATGACACCGTATAGCACAACAGGACTCCGATCTTGAGGTTGCCGTGTGATTATGGAAATAGACACCCAATACCCAAACACCTGGAATGACAAAGCACATGGCGCGCCACTAGAACAGGTGTGGTTTCGCCCTGACTAAAACAGTAGAGCCAGAAGCCAAATGGATTGGCAGCTGTAAGGTGTGAATCAGAACCCGCGGAATTTCGACTGTTCGACTATACCGGTAATATTGCTGCTCCAATCAATCAAACTGCATAGTGTGTAGTTTCCATTATCATTCAAACGAACAGCCTTGAACTCCGTCTTCGTTTCACTAAATTGAGGTTCAACCTGTCTCTAGACTTATAACATTTTTGATATTCATTGAGCACTTTCTAAAGCAGAGAGTAATGCTACAAAAATGCTATAAGTATCACTAAAATAGTGTCAAATCGCTTCATATCTAAGACAATCTAAATAGATGTTGCTACTTTCAGCTAGATGGCAAAATGCATATCATCTTACCTGAAGAAACTGTGCTGGGCTGTACACGCATCCCAGAGTCGTTTTGCCAGTCGGGGATCTGCACACTGGAAATTTAGCGTGAACAACTGATTCAAAGCATCCGCGGTAAGACCACCTTTTCGTCGATCCGCGCGTAACATACCACTTCCTTTGGGGAACGAGGCAGATTGAATTTTGGGGTCCACATTGATGGCTCGGGTGACAATGGTGAAAGTCTTGGATTTGTACAAAAGTTTGACCAATTGTGGCCACAGGAAACGTCCTATACGAACACGGCCACGATAGACAAGGATTCCTCCGTGATACACACCGATGGCTATATCCTCACCGGAAGCAAACTTAAACGTTGCGTTGGAAACGAGATATGAGAAGGGCACTGAGTGACAAAATAAACATTTTTAACATTTTCTTTCCTCAAAAAGGACGAAATAATTCTGAGTGCTTCACAAAATGTGATAAACACAGAGAATAGTGAATCACACTGCGTGGAAAATAAACCATGTTAAGGCGATAGGGAGTATTCAGAGTGAGTATTCCAGTAAGCACTATAAAAAGTATTTTGGGGACAGAATAAACCATGCCAGAGGACGCGTGATAGGACTCTTGAATGAAAGCCGAATTAGGTGACTGCTGTGATGGTCATAGAATCTAGTTTTCCTAATTATTTGACTCAACAAAGAACCAGTCTTCGCAATGTCGAGTACAACTATCAGCATTAGTTATCTTACCTGCTCAGGAAAGGGGCAAATCTGATCCCTGGTGTAGATCGTTCATTTGTTGTGTCACGAATTGTGCCGGTCTCAGTTCTCTTCCACTGTGCGAAATCATTCAAAGTGGCACATGAATAAACTATGCGCTTACCAGTTCAAGGTTTTCACGCCACAACTGACTGACACGTATGTACATTTGTAAACGGAAGAATGTCGCCATTTATATGTGCGTTTGTGTGTGTGTGCGTGCATTCGTGTATAACTGTGCGCGATGTTGACAATGTAACAAAATCTTTTCTATCCTTCTGATCTCCCTCTTCAGGGACGGCGACAGTCAATCGCGCTCGCTTGGCCGCACGCACTTCTGGCTTTCTGCTGGCCACTGTGTCACCGACTGAGTATAACCATTATCTAAATAGGCCCCTGGATGANGAAGAGTGAGGAGAGAACGCAGGACACGGAATTTTAAAACCCTGCCGCAAATGGAGGTGAATTTGTACCGGTCTGAATCTCAGTTCTCGAGACTGAGACTGTCCCCAGAATAACTCAACAATAAACTCACAATATATGTATGTATACATGCGTTTTCAGATGGGTGTATTTATTCAAGCTGTCTATCACTGTTAGTTGGCAATGCTTGCGGTGTTTTGTAGCGTTAGCACAAATCGCACCGCAAATGACCCGAATTCCCGCCCGCAAACGTGACTGACGGGTGTGTGAGTGTACATGAGGAACGTGTCCGTATGAGGTTTTCTGGTCCCCGGGATGAGCCTACGGGCGCGTAAATACACATGCACACCAAATGAACGCACACTTAGTAGAATGCTGTGATGGTGTGCTCTCAAGTTTTTAAAAGTCGAAAGTTCAGATTAAGGAAATGCTGGCAATTGTTTGAGTTTCACCGAGTGTATAATTAACGCAAGCCCATATCATGGAAAAAACGCCGAATCTTTGCATTCGTCTCTTCAGTGATTGATGGCTATTTCTTCAGCGTCCGTAATGAGGTGCATGATCTAATGGTCTTAGGATATGTCCGTTTGGTGGCGGTGGTCAAGGTCATTGAAACTGTAACCACCAACCTTCCCCATTTAAGTACTTCTTTTTTAATTGGTCGCAGACCTCTTCGTCAAAGTTGATTATGTATTTATGCATTTAATTGATAAAAGAGGGTGAAAACATTATTATTAGCAGAATAGATCACTTGGTGTCACCTAATTGTTATTAATCCGGAAGTAATAAAATATTTCGATCACCATTATTTTACCACTTATAAGTGATTGTATATTCAAAATGCATCGAATGCATTGAATTTGAAATAATCTCACGAGGGGGGGTCTGTGTAATTTAGCCTCCCAACCAAAAGAAGTTCCAGATGTGACCGTCTTGTCTCGGACACGAAACTCTGCCTCATGCCATCCGAGAAGGATCTGGGAGTAGTCATTCGCGCAGACTTGAGTTGTTCCACAGACTGTTCCACGGCATCATCTATTGCGGTAAAGCAGGTTGGACTGCTCAAACGTGTTTTTGGATCTTTTGAGCCGGCTTTGTTTCCACGTCTGCTAGCCACGTATATTCATCCATATACTGAGTACTTAATTCAAGCCTGGAACCCGTGGCTGCAGCGAGATCTGAAGGCACTCGAACATCCGCAAAGAATGGCTACCAAAATGGTCAAAGTTTTGTATTCCAAGACATACGGAGAAAGATTACAGCTCCTGGGGCTATACTCATCCCAATATCGTCGAATCAGAGGCGATATGATTATACTATATCGGATTTTCCAACAACCCAACCATCCATTTAGATCTCTGTTGGTTTTATCGCAAAACGTTTATCTCGGAGGGCGTCCGCTGAAGTTGGCACACCAGAAGAGCCGTCTCGACTGCAGACGTCACTCTTTCAAGCGACAGCTTGATGATGCTCTGGCAAACATTACGTTTCAACACCTAACTACATAATATATTCTCCTGTGCTCGTCAAAACATTACCTTACTACTTTACGTTCATGGACTAACTGTGATATTGTGAATCGTGATCCGAACCAAAGAGTAAACACCCTATGGGATTTGACAAAAGCGAAGTCTTTGTAAGTTATATCCCATAAGAAAAATTTGATTTCAATTTGAGTGAATAAGTGCATAAAGTCAGCTGGCGAGTTTAGACCGGAACCTGGGCACAAGAACAGGTATGGAATTAGTAAAAGGTGCTGTACTCAGTGATAGGAACACCACAATATTTTCTGAAATGCCAGGAAGCATGGTAATCTCAGATTCTAATCACGTAAAGTATGAGAATATAAAATACAATTAGTAACTATCGGCTGATGCAAAAAAAAGTGATTTAGAGACTTGACCCAATGAAAGAACTTTCGACAGAAGTACACGGCAAATCTATCGCAGGTTGAAATGGGAGATTTAACACCAACTCAATAAAACCGCATAAACAGCAGCAGACAATCAGTTCATGTTTTACTCATTCGTAACTATATCACGATAGATACCGAAAAAGTTATTATCATCCTTATAGAGCAATGTGATATACGGTACTATTTCATTTATGAACGTTTTGTCTTTCTTCCTATTTTGTTTTTCCTGTTTACCTGAGGGTGTCAATAATCTATCTGTTGAACGTTTAGTTCACTATTCCAAGCATCTTTCGAACCTTCAAAGTAAATCTGCCTAATCGTACTCTCAAAAGACATTTTCTAGTATAAAACAGCCATGAAAGTTGCCAGTTTTCCACGTGATTACGATTTTACATCTACATACACTTTACGTACTCATTTCAAATGATTACCACTTCTCATGTCGCACACGTTATTCCTGATTGCAATTATCTCATGCTTATCTCTTCTGTGGGAAGAGAAAATATATGCAATGAACAGGATAACTAGTTTGGGGTATATGCACTAACTGTTAGGTCAATGAGAACCTCAAAGAAGTATCACATGAATCAGCAACGCCGGCAGCGAAAAGAAGAGAGTTTTGCTTACGAGTGCCTTTCAAAGGCGATATATCTGTCCAGAAAATCAAGCGACCACCAGAAAAGATGATAGTCGGCAATTATGCAACCGTTACTCTACGGAAAACGCTCACCAACAGACCAAGGATACACACAGTTATCTCAAAGATAAACTGCTCACCAGCACCTCATAACCGATTACTTAGTCATTCGCCTCTACTTGTGAGGCGAGTTACCTAGGTCGGACAAATCGGCATTTATAGCGGACACGACATAACACTGCTTACATGAAAACAGCAAGATATGCAATCGCAACCCACCTCGCAAAACACGGTATCCGGGTGGCAACGTAAGTCACATTTTGAGTACCTTTCATTAGATAAAAGCCTTTATATCACCCTTCATTAGCAATGGTGGAAGAAGTAGAGATTCGACTGTTAAATCTGTCCAAGAAGAACCTGGCAAAAGCCCTTTAGCTGCCCTTGTTTCGATTTAACCAATATAATAAATCTAATGTTGACACGAAAATGACGTCAAAAAGCTAAGGCTGTAGAGATAAACTATGATCCCCCTGCCGCTCTTCCTCCTTACTGTGCTTTTCTATTACACAACTTACACAACTTATTTTATCCGTTATTGATAAAATCACACAGAGTCAGTTCACACTGCCACAACTTCATCTAACAGTTCCGATATTGGAAGAAGATTTGTTTCGAAAATCCAAGCAAATCTAATTACACTGACAAACCAAACAAACGCACATACACAATCAAATGCTCACAAAAGATCGGCTATTTCTGTACGCTTTAACGCTGCCCCTACGTACCATATATCGAATAACGTCACTGTGAGAACGTGCTAAGACAAACCAGATGAGAGGTATAGTAATACAGAGAGAGAGAGAAATAGAAAACGCTCACAAACAAGCACAGGCAAGGTACAGCTCCGGTTAGAGAAGAAGATTTTCTCTTGGAGCGGAAGAATCAGTGAAATTTTGCACACATTTACACCAGACCCATGAATTTCATTGACTAATTCACAGACAATTGTATGTTTGTTCAACATCAAGGCGAAGTCGTTTTTGTGAACAATGACAACCGGAAAAGCAAAGCATAAAGTTCCGGTTCCCGGAGTAATCGCATATCCTGGATGGCGGCTTTTGGAGGCCGGGAGGGGCAGAGCGTATTGCTGAGCATCAGATATACACAACAGAGAGATATATCATAATTATTCGTGTCAGCTTTTTCTTCCTGGCCCCAATGCAACTCCTTCTAACCCTGGTCTCCTCCCGTGCATGCACGTTTATCTGATCAACGCCAGCGCATTTGCAAGCAAACGCAAGGTTTTGTACTGTGAAGTTATGTATCCTCAGTACACTCTACCAGTTCTATCGTCATCCCTCTCTCTCTCCTGCCTTGTTCCAAAGTGCTTAACTTGCCTGGGACAAGAGAGAGGACAGGAATACGGATATGATTTTGGTTGCACTGTGATTCTCCTCGTCGTCGTTCTTTACAGTGAGTGCACTCAGGACAAGGCACTTCACTTTAAGAGGTTACCGTTTTCATTAGACAAGTGTAACACACCTCACATGACACGAAGATGTGTCCGGATGTTACCGAGAAATTCACCTGCTGCATTGCGTTCACCAAATAGTGGAGAATAACTAAGGTACTATTATGGACGATCGATCAATGCAGATTTACAGAAAAAAACTGTGATGGGGGGCATGTAAAGTATAAAACCCCAGAGACAGAAAAACAATGCATCTATTGGAATTTTATATGATATAGACATGAAAATTTTTCTGTTCACTTTATACGATACGATAATCATTGACGTTCTAAATGCATATCATAGAGCTTGAAGTTCATTTCAAAATGGATAGATTTTAGTTTTTCCCGAAGAAACATCTTTCCTCCACGGAACATTAATGAAAAAATTCAATAATTAAGGTTCTACGTGAATATCAAACTATTGTAGCATGTAAGTTCCGTTTTTCAGAGTTTACTGGTTCGCAGTCAAATTAAAAGGGCGCTGTGGGTGCTCTCTGGGAAACAAAGATGAATCAACTCCCAGAACTCATTCAGGGCTAATGAAAAAGTAATATGAAGTAAATTCACTCGTGGGTAATCAGCGTATAATTTCACCGTACAATCATTATTCAATAAAACATGTGCGATATTTCACTTTGCCAGATGCGAACGATAAGTTACAGGTAAGAATAATGAGACCGCCTATAACTAGTGTTTCAGTCAGCTTAGATATGCTTCTAAATAGTGATATTTCTATTTAGTCAATTGAACAGAGAGACTAAACAATATACATACTTCTGTCGGTCGTTTGCTTATTTTAATCGACAACAATGTCCAGCAACAGCAATTTTAGCTAAACAATACCATGGCGCGTAGATTTCATTGAAGTGCAATCACTCCATATTCTGGAGTACAATACAACACGTTTCACATCGACAGAGGAATCCCGTACGACGAACATTCACATAATAGGATCGTTGGTTTTTAATTTCCAAAATTGGGAGGACCGAAGGTTTCACAAACAATTTCATTGGACAACTTCATTCGTTCCCGGAGGACCTGCTTTTTCCAACTCATGGTGTACGGACAGAACCCGTGTCTGTTTCGGGGATGTGAAAATAAAACAAAACCAGGGTACACAGAGTGAACTTACTTTGGCTTTATGAAATTCGACGCCGTAGAGTGCTAATCGTTTGGCATTTTCGAGGAAGCCGCGATCTGCTTGCACAGGAGTTTGTCCTCTGATGTGGAAGAAATAAAAAAATAGGTTACGCGGTTTCAGCTTCCGAATCGATCAGCTAAGCAACGAGCAAACAGACGAAGTTATGAGTCAGATAATTCCAAAACGGAGGACCCTTTGTTCCAAAACGCAATAAAGTGCTATTCAAAGATTTGACAGTGTCCTTCCAGATAAATATTACGGGTTTTCGCGGGCATGGTTTTCTCACATTCACATACGGAACTGTCAACAGATGAGCGCGAGAATTTCAGGCCGCATTTTCTTTTCGGGAATCAGAATGTCTACTGTCTGACGGTATGTACATTTAATTTTCTATCACAATGAAGAGACGAAAGCGACTTTTTCACATTGGTGGTGAGTATTGGAACAAAACCGTCCATAAAATGATTTTTCATTGTATTCTCACTATGAACTTACAGAGATGAGTAATTTATTGTACAATGTGAGATATCCCATCGCAAGATTTTGACATTCTGTTAGCATAATTCATTGAATATTCCCAACGTGACATTAAGAAAACACTGGCAAACAAAGCTTATTTTCGATAACTTCCTCCTCGCGCTAATACAGTTATATATATATATATATAACTGTATTAGCGCGAGGAGGAAGTTATCGAAAATAAGCTTTGTTTGCCACAGTGTTTTTTAAAATTCTGTTAGCAATTTTTATAACTACTGGTGATAGTTAAATTGATTCGTGTCAGTCAAGTCGAAGTAAGCTTTAGGCACCCGGAGAGTGAATTTGCATTTCTTTTTATCGTCCAAATGTTCCAAAAATTCCACAAAGGAAGTATGTGTGCAGATCAACTCAAGATCTTTAAAAAAGAAACATGATGAAGCGGGGAGTATTGGGGATATTAGAATTAGCGCCATAAACGGTTGTCATTGTGTGTTTCGAAATTAAGGTTGAGGTTCGAGCTCTTACACCTTTCGTGGTAGACAGCCAAGCTGTCAACCTGCACTATAATGCGATTATCCAAATGGAATATATAAGGTGGGTTGGCAATCGAAGTCCCCGGGGCTTAGGTTGCCGATAACCCTGAAAGAACAGCAAGATCTCTTCTACTGTTCATCACACTATGGTTGGCCATGAAAAAGTTACAATGAAATGAGCACCTATGCGCTTTTACTCAAGGTACGGTTGACATGATCTTTTGAGGCCTCCAAGAATTCAAGGTACGGAATCTCGAAAAAGCTTTGATTAATTGAATCCGCCTGAAGATACCCTCATCACTAAACTACTAAACGGAGTGAAATACTGCACGCTGATGAGCAAAATGATCTACACAGTTTAACCGGTACTTTCAGCTCGACAAACCAACAGCAAAACACAAAAATTCATTTAAGTGTATAAGATTTTAGTTCGAATGAAAGAAAATTTAATTATCAATAAATTTGAAAGGATAACGACAAAATCGTTGACATCAGACCTCGTGGATTAGAGTGTAAAACGGCAGCGATCGAGAAAACTCAGTCACCACCGCGTACATTTTTCACATATATACGAATTCAAGACAATTTCGGATAGTTGCATTCTTTAGGAACTCTTCTCTATCGTGCAGTACAAAAGTGTTATAAGTTGCATGAAGGAGACCGGATACGTGTGGGAACACATTATCAACCAATCGTACTTGCATTCAAACTCCGTTTGCTTTGGTGCATATGAGCAATAGATGACACTGAAAACAATCAGATGAAACAAAGGTATAAGGATTTTATGAGTATTTAGTGACGAGTGCAATACTGTTGCACTTGTAATTATACCCCTGTTTCACTCCGTGTTTACGTGTGTGGAGTTTTTAAACTTACATCATCTATACGCGTTGATTAATCCCAAAAGATCAGTATAATACTTGGAATTCTCACTTTGGGGACTTCTTTCTGGAAGCCTTATTTCTCGTCTATCAAATTTTCTACCGTATTTTAAACACTAACATCGCATTTGTCTCCCGAAATCGTCAAATACACAAACATTGCGGAAGACCAGGTGATACAACAATGAAAGCAGAGTGAATTCATTGTCGTCAATCAACAACGGATCGCATCAGATGATTCATTGTTGTGAACGTCACGATAAAAGTGCAATTGCATTTAGGCTACACACAAAGAGAACTGTTGTTTACGTATCAACCGGAGGGGAGAGGAACCGGCGGATACTAGGATCCAAACCGACTTCTCTTTACAAAACCACTTTCATTCGCATATAGAGTCGGGAGTTTGATGTGTGGTTTGTGTGCGTTGGGGTAAACGGGGAGGATTGAATAGATGAGATCAAAACTTGTACTATCCGGTCAGAGCAGCAATTAAACCGTTTACAGGACATTTTTCTAATTTTACCAAATTAAGTGGGTTGGAAATAGGGAAAGTGCACTGTAGAATTCCGGTAACCGAGTTCAGTAATAAATGCGGCACAGATCCGATTGATGTCAAACAACACACAATAATTCAAACTATTTTTTTCTCACCATTACCTAATACATTTATCATTTCAACTCTGATGTCAACAAAGATTCAGTTGGTTTGCAAGGGAAAAATAGGCTACAAGTATATGGGATATGATGAAATCCTGGCATTCTTAGTATTATTATAAACCGAGCATTAACTGCAACCTCATAACGTGGAATTCTAAGAGAATGCGTTCGGTCGAGCGCCTACGCAGGAACATTCATGCCGTGACTCATGTAAGCGGGTGAGTGAACAATATTGGACATTTCCCGGAAATGACCAAAACAGTATTCGTTGTGGGACGTGAATTCAATTAAGTTGTACAACGCAATACAACCCCTTGAAGCCGCAGAACCCAGTTTCATTCCAAGCAATGTTTACTGTATTCGCACTTAGTCGAATCTCCATCCATCTAGGTGGGAAACCACACAATGATGACAGCCCGTTATCGGCATTTCCGAAACAAGATACATTGGACCAAGAAATTCCAATGCAACCATCTTGCAACGTTCTACAAACACAGACAACTCATCATATGCTTTATCTTCCTGTGTTTCTCGAACCTGCATCAACTTCGTTTCCTTTGTTTAAGGGAAGAACTAACATCGCCGAGATGACTGCTATGGCAACGAAACAGTGGATTAGACCCCGGGAGAACCTTGGACAGCATGTCAAAATTGTGTGGTTGCATGGTAGTGGTGGTCTGGTCGAGAGGGGAGGAGAAGCGGTGTGCTGCTGAAGAGAGTGAATGACCCACACATTGTTGCTAGGATAGATTGGATACGACGCGAATGAAT